TGTACAAGCTGGCCCTCAAAGCTGGTTGAGACCATCGGCACTCAGAAAGTCTGTGAAGCAGATTCAAGGCTAAGAGGACTGAACTACAGATGTATTTAGTTTACTGGGGCTTACATTGGATAATGAAATTACTACCTCCCCCCACGTCATTGATTTATGCAACACCTTTTTCAAACAGGCACATTAAGGACTCTACAACGTAGGCTCTCAACTCGGCTGCAGCACACATCCTCTATCGTAACCCTGCAGAACTGGTTCGGGGCAAGAGAAGAATGCAGCGTCCAAACGGCAACTGCAAGAGGAATATAGGGAGATGAGAGGACACCAGACTAAGCCCTGCCCCAGGCTGGAAACAGTGCTAATGAATCATTCATTAACAATCACAGAAGGGCATTAGGTTTCAACCTAAAGGCATCCCACAGCCCTTTGCTGGGACACCTCTTATGGAGCCACAGACACTTTCTAGATTATCTCCCAGTCTCCCCTCTGAGTAGTGACCTCTCACCAGGTAAAGTCTTATATGCTCACAACCCAAAACAATCCAGTTGTGGCCCTCTTTTGGAAGCTGCAAACGCCTACTATACATCCTCTTCTCTCCCTTCACATGGACAGAAGGATTTATTTAGCAAAGGGGCAGCAGTGTCAAAATGCAACACTTTGCTATCAGGTTTTACAGCGGTGTCATTACACAGACGCTCACAACTCAGGATTTGGACCTCAGAGTAGATGATTAAATGCAGGGAAGTCAAGTGACCTCACGCAACAAAAGCAATAGGAAGCCTTGCTCCACAAAAGCACTGTAACAGCAGGTTCCAGCTCCCCTGCAAGCACCTGGGGTCAGACTCGTAGCCACTATAATCAGATCAGCTCCACTGAATTCAGTGGGGCTACAGGCATTTCTGCACATTAAAGATCCAGCCCTTTTTATTATACTTACTGGGTTACCTATGAGAGGAGAAGATTGGACTACACAGGGTGCATTGATTAGCAAGGGCTCAGCAAGCAGCAAGAACATTACTCACCAGTCATTCAACTTCAGGCCATCACCTGTGCCACACTGCCCAGAGTCTAGGACAAGAGCCCAGTTTTGCCATCATCATTGGCAATCCCTTGCAGCTGAGAATGACTGTCTTCCACAATTGTCTTATCTGCAGGTCTGAAGATGGCTGATGAGGCCTATCCAGGACGGACAGACTCCGTTGTAGAGTCTGCAGCTTGGTATGAAACGGTCACACCACTCTTTTCTCTTTTACCTCCCCAGCCTCACAAGCTGCCAGAGGACAAAGACAGACATAAGGATCTTTACCACCATTCTTCTCCCATCTCATTTCTGCCTCCCTGTTCAGCCAGTACTGAGTTACCTGTGGGGAGTTCCCAAATTAGGCCCAGCTCTGCTCCTATAGGAAAGCTAATTGTGGACCTTCCTGTTAACCCTCTCTCTGCCAACCCCTGCATGCACTTTACATCACTTCGTCCCACAGGTGCTTCCATTTCCAGAGAGCTGGGTAGGGAAATGGCATAGGGAAGGAGAGCGGAGTCAATCAAGTAGTAAGGCTGGGGGGAACCAGCTTGGCATGCCACAGCCAAGATAGGATGCCTGGTTCTCTATGGCTACCCCTGCACCTGAAACAGGGTGCAGACATACCGCAGCTATTTTTAAACGAGGCGGGCTGGGTAACAGCAACAGCCTGCCTGTGTCAGCATGG